CTATTTCGCGCTCGGTTTGACTGCCGGCAGCCGGGGCCACTTTCTTTGACACCTGACTTGGGCCTATGCTAAAGTACGGACCACTTCCTTTTGTACTAGTGCGCGCGCGCGCGATCGCACCGGGAATACTCGGAAATCCTCGGTCAGCTGCCAAGTACTTAGATTGTCGTTCCTGTTGTGGTCTTGACCCTCACTGGCTCTTTGCATTCAAACCGCACCCTGTTTTTCCATGTCTGCCAAGTAAAATCTCTCAGACCACCTCATTTCCTCAGCAAAACGTGAACTTTCCAGCGTGCGCCCGAACTTACCGACATTACCGCTTCTTTTGAACATCTTAACTCGTGCATTCGCGCAAGTGTTCGGATATCATAAGGGCTCCCTGTTTTAAGCGTCGCGGAGCGGCTGGTACTTGACGGGCTGTGCCTCAGGGCTACTTAGCTGCTGTTATCTGCTTCGCACTCTTCAGTCGCCCGTTAACAACCGTACACCGGTGTTATTGCGAACCACTATTACTGTTAATTTTAAGAAAATCCCGTCATGTGAAATGGCACCGGATGTTGTGCCATCCTCAGAGAGGCAACCCACGGCCACCAGCTCATCTCCCGCGAGGGCGCTAGCGAGCTAAGCTTTAACTTCCTAATGACGCGAGGCACGCCGTTCCGACACTAAATGCGTTCCAATGGTGAGAATAGGAACCGCTCTTGTAGCTCACATAGCACACGTGTGCTGGCGACTTAGACGTGTCAAACTCCACTTTGAAACATCGGCAAACAGCCAGTTGACTTCATATTCGGCCCGACGTGAGGATGCATAGCCATCTCTGTTGATATTGGAGCTTTGCTCAGACGAAAAGGTATATCAACAGGGTTCATTGAAAAGATCAGTCATGGATGGAAGCGTATCTTACTAATACTTTGAGAAAATTCATTTGCACAGGCCTCCATTATTAGTTGTCGCATAAAACTTCGAGCGGATCCGGCGGGGTGCAGAGACGGAGAACAACGCACATCATCGGGCCCGGCTAGATCAGACATGGTCACAACCGTGACAAGGTACAGCGACGGGAATCACAATTCGCTATTGGCTGCCGAGTCCTGGCAAGTGGGCAATTGCATCTATCTACTCGCCACCCACATACTTGTCATAAACAACAAATCAAGAAGTGTTTATCATACTGCGAGGCTTTCTCCAGTCTATACCAAAACACTGAGAAACGACGTCCGCTTTAGAATCTCTCGTGACCGACAACGCGCTAAGAAACGGTAACATAGCAAATGTTACAGCTAATGGAGACAAAAAGCATAACCTTGCAATCCGTCGGAGGTAAGATGACCCCTTTAATGTATGATTAAAAATTACGACGCAATTTTATTGCAGAAAACCGGATGATGTATGATTATCGCAGACCTAATAAGTAAGTGAATCCTTAAAAGAACTGTACAGGTTTAAGATTTGACGATAAACGTAGTCAAAACAGGTCCTTCAGCTTCACGCATGCAGGTCTTTTTTCAGCAACTAGGTTTGTTCGCCGAAACGTTTGACGCTGTAAGATAAAAGAGTCCATGTGGTTAGTGGATGCATGGAAAGTTATTTTTCAAGGTGCTGGGTGACTTATTAAGTGTTTCAACATTTCGCATAGACTTATGAACCTAGGCATAGACGGACTGGCGCCGTGCTTGAAGCCCTCTAACTCAGGTCCGAGTAGTATCAGACACTCGGTTACGAAGGGAACAGGCGGTTAATCGGGATCGCTATGAAAACTGTGAAGAAGCGAATTTATCGCTACCATAAAAACGTGTCCAGGACTACATTTTAATATACAGTCGTCTTCTGTCCACAAAAGGTAGGCTGTTTCATCTTTTAATGCCAACTGTTAGCAGTATTAAATGACCTAGACATGTCACGATGGCGAAGAAACGTTCTACAACTTACCAGAGTTGCAAATAAAACTGGGCGCTTTGAATTTGATCAGGTGTTCCTGTGATTGTTATTATCCGGTCCTCAACTCCTGGTTCCTGAGGGCTTATTTTTATATCCGCCCCAGACTCTTTACGCACTTGGTTAATTCTGCTGCCACCACGGCCCATGATTGCGCCAATCATCTTATTGCCAACAGAGACTTGTGTTGTCGTTGTTGGCGCGATTATATTCATTCCGACGCGTCCGGACATCCTACAGGAAAATCGGGAAGTGAATATTTTGACGCTGACATACAGCATAGCGAAATAACAGCTTCTGGGACGTCGAAATCTCAATGGTCGGACTTAGTGAGTGAATTTACAGACCCATATATCTAGGTAATTTAGATACACAGAATACGCAGGAGCTGCATGGAATACTGAGTAAATACAAATGGAATCTATGAAAAAAAAGACTAGAGCAAAGCTGAACTGCTCAATTTTCAGATCCTAACTTGACACCGTGTGCACACCGTTCAGCGTGGTGAAACGTGAATGAAATTTCCGCCTCCTATGGAACCGAACACGACCACACAAAAAGCACCACCTGATCTAATTTGAAACCAAGGACACTTGGTGGGGGATGACACGAGAGATGGTAAAAAGCGAATAGTAAGGGCGTGCAAGCTATGAACTCACCCTGCAAATTGCTTCTTAAATGATGGCCTTTTTTAATTTTAAAAACTTCTGGAATCTACAGTCAGTGACCAATTTCATTAAGCCGTGACAAAAACTCTAAAACGCATTTCCGATCAGAGAGAATTACTTAAGTAGCGTTGTACCATTATCCCAAGCTATTTCGAGCACGCCAGGACGTCGGCCTTCCGACCGCCTACAAAAAATCGTATGGTGAAAACGATTCCTCAGGTACTGATTTCGTTCATGTTCGACGCCCATAAGAATTCAAAATATTCTTCAGAAAACGCAAAAAACAGGCTTTCTTGTGCTCGTTTTGTGGTATATCACGCCTTCAAATTATACGCCCAAAGAAAGGGTATCTTTCGGTTTTAAGGAAGTTTTATCAATCCCTCACTAACGCTGAACACGATCTGCTACTGCATATTTCCTATGTAAAGAACATCATGGATTGCTCTATGCCATCAAGGAGATAATACGCAGTGTTCATGAAATTTTGCTATGAAGGTGGAGTATGGGGTGTATGCCTTATAGGAAGCATTGATATACGGACGCAGACAGTGATATTTGAATGGACATTTCACGGTCTTAAAGAATCCCATAATTAAAAACTTCTGAAAACTGAAAGATGCCCTCTCTTTGAGCATACAATGTCAATAGGACGTGGTCTGGTGCCCAATGAGTACAAGAAAGAATAGGCCTGCAGATATTTTACGTGCGTTTTGCGAGCGGTCGGACAGAGGCACATCAAAAACGGGCGTTGTGGCGCGACTGAAGCAACTTTAGATTATGCCGCACGATAACCAATACTAGAATGCCACTTAATCCTTCGTAGCAAGAACGGATTTTGAACTTTAGGTTGCGATCTCACGAGACTGGTCATCTACTGTAGACGTGAAATCACTGTCATTGTCCTTTGTCTCATTAACAATTGAGAGGCTGGATAGCGGATCAGCGTGCAGGGCCGTGTGCTTAGGTATTTGTCATGTTGACGATCATGAAGGACAACTATGAAAGGGTTCTTGTCTGGCAATGGGGGAAAAAGGAGCAAAATGACATACCCACGCATCATGCCCGCAGCCATCATGGCGGCTGCAGCAGCAGCGTCACCCGCCGGTCCGGAGGCCGGAGCACCTGGATTTTGGCCGCCTGTAGCTGCCAACATAGCAGCAGCAGACGCGTGCGGCAAGCCACTGGCAAGCGCTTGGCTAACTGCTGCTGCTTGAGATACCGTACGTGGATTGGCGCCTGCCCCCGACACACCGCTGAACAGCCCAGCAGCCAGAACTGAACCCTATGAGGCATAAAAAAGAATATAACCGAACACGCAGCACCGATGAAAAAATAGAGCCCGTCAGGGTCTGGACAAACCCTGGGACTTACATGGATCTGACTTATTTAAAATAGCTCAGTAAAGTGATGGAGTCAGAGTCCTGAAGTTCGGGATATCTGCAAAGTAGGAAACATTATGAAAAATTTGCCTTTAAAACCTGTCTTGGACTTTTTCTACCGCATCATAATGGCGCATTTGCATATGGAATCCGAGGCTCTAGTCACTGAAATTAATAAGAACGTCCCCAACCATTTATTTAGGCAGGGGTAATGCAACCTTAGGTGTCGGTTAATAATCGGAAATGAGTGTCCACAACACCAAGATCATGTATAGCCATATTTAGTTTAGAACTCGGTCAGCAGGACTCGTCAGGACTATTGGTCGAACCGAGTATGCGAGGCGCGATAGCCGACGCGAGGACTTCATTCGCCTGTTTCCTTAATTGGTTCCTAGAAGTCGTATTTCCGCTTGTATAGACTGAGTAGGTATTTGATATGGACCCTTCGCCGAAAGAACCCCTTGAAAGGATCGGACAAAATACACTTTAATGGCGAAAAATATTAATGAAATCCTGGATGGTTACGTGAAAGATAACGACTAGCCGGCCTTTCACAGTGAAATCATTAACGGCTATGAAGCTAGTCAACAACAGTTTATGGTGTCACTCTATTCGCAAAGTATCCTGCGGAAATTTCAAACATTTTCACCGACCAAGGAAGTCTGTCATAACGACTTACAATTGCAGGTGTTAATAAATCTAAGAGATAGAAAAAGAACACCGGACAACCGAATGGTACAGCGGCGGCAGGTCAACAAGGCCCACGGGTTACTAAGAAACGTCATTATTGTTTTACCTGCGTAGCCCAATTGGACATTACTAAATAAAGAGTTCTCGGGAGTTTTGATCGGTCTACCCTCTAGCTATCTGATGCCCTATATCGGTATGGGAAAACAGGTACCGAGGTAAAAAGCATTTCCTGGGCATTCACAGCGAGTAAATATGGCAGAAAAATGTCCCTTAACTACGAAATTCCGAAAACACAGCAAGATGGTTTAAGGAAGATCTTGATAAAAATCACGCGTTTTTACAATTGGCGCCGACATGAATTCACGACTCTAACAGGGCTGAAACGTAGTTCGAATATGATAGGCGCAAAAAGCAAAAACCCGAGATAAGGGCCCTTCCAGTAGCCTAAGCGCAGACTACCAGGCGCGCCAGCAGATGGATGGTGAAACGGCATCCACCGCTCTAAGCTCTAAACATCGGAAGGTCGCGCTAGGGACCATCTTGTGTAATTTTCTGTATCACGAATTTGGACTCGTGCCACAGCAACAGCGGTCACTGACGTATTCAGAACTGTCAGTGGGCTGTATGGCAGGTGGATCAGTGAGTCCGCTTTCGGGCCAGGAAAACTTAATCCTATCAGTTAAACTACAATTAAAGGACGTCCCGGTTCCCAAATGACTGGTCTGTGAAGACTTAATGTGTTACGGAAAGTAGAAAAGAATAAAGCATCTGGTAAGGATTGCCTTCAGGCGAAAACTTACACACGATGTTTGACGCCTCGAGACGGCCGATTACCTGGAACTCTAACCCTAACTTCGGATGGAGTTACGCCTTCAGTAAAATAGTTGCGCAGCGACTGCCGTAATGCGTTTGTTTGACGCTGCTGTTTGAGTTCTAAAGGACGTCCTCCCCAATCCTTCACGCCAGATGTCTGCCAGGTCGGGGCCGGGATGTGTTGATTAGCACTGCTACCCACAACTCACTCTCTGTTCGTGAACTTCTCCCATGAGTCTGACTGCCTACGGAAATTTCTTGAAGCGGATTAAGTTGAATAATGGCACGCCGCTAAGGGTATTTCGATCCATTCAAATCTACTGAGGAGATCGATAACAGGTCTATTCGGATGTCCAAAGTCATTATTGTGATGTCACCCCCTGCGTTCCTCCGGTATGCGTACTTTTGGGAATTGTCCAACTTGGTCGGACAGAATGCTTCAGCGCTTGCTGGCAGGTAACGCAAGTGCTGCAGTAGGTCGTGGCAAGTGTCCCGCAGATTCCGATGATGATGCCGCTGTGGTGCTAGAAAACTCTTTCGCACAAGTAAACCGAGCTGTACCCCAAAAATACGCAAAGTAACCGATGTGGTCCTTGGAGTTAGTCCCGGGAATCGCTGGTACGGCAGACAATAGGGTCTGTGGGCTGATGGAGGCTTTCCACCAAATAATCAAACGAGCGACGTCTCGGTCTAACTTCTTAAAACTGGAACTAACTTGAACCCGGTTATATGACAGCCCCAACTGTACGAAATCTTCGATAAGACAACTATTCAACACGGACGTTAAGCCTGGCCCGTAGGCTCAGAAGGCAACCGTCGTCTGCGAACTTTTAGTCGGTACAGGTTTTCAACAGCGTCTGACGAAGGTTACAGTCGGTGCAGAACGCTAGTTGTCAACCTGATTCTTCTTACTCGCTAATTGGGATAGTTCGGCCGTGCGCTATAGAGAACCCGATGTTAAACCTTCCAGCATATCTACTCCCCAGAACTCGGTCCCCGCTGGCTAAGGTGTAGACGTAAGTAACTGAAGACTTGGGCAAATGTCATGGAGGCTGGCCGGTTGACCTTCAGCCTATCTCGTCCCACAGTTTTCGGTCTGTGCAGTTAGTGTGCTAGCTCGCTCAACTTAGATCGCGAACCTGCCGTGGATCGGCTGCAGTAGAGTGCAGAAACTTGCAAGGCGGTGAACCTGCAACATGAAGCCATGAACATCGAGCTTCATGAGTTGCCGTTGCATATAAAAATGGGTACCAAACTAGGTGCCGGTTGGTACATTTCAGGTAATGCAAATTATCCGTGTGATTTATGCATCAGGTCGTGTGACCGGCCGAACCCAGTGACAAGTATATCTGGAAAAAGACTTGTGTAGAGGTGCAGAAAGCACCGACCTCTCTTGCTTTACCTGTGGGTAGTGATTTGAAGAGAGGTTGTTACGACGATTTATGAACCCTCCGCTGGAAGTTCCCATGCCCATCATACACCAGCCTCCGTAGTCATGTGCCAGGTCTTCGTCATAACTCCTGGCATCGTAATTTTGACGGGGTCCTTTCGGTGGCGCGCCCTGAATACGTAACTTCTAAAAATGCAAAGTTTACCTCAAGCAGTTCAGTGATGGCCTGCAGGCAACTGACGACGTGTGAAACACTGCCAACAAGTTGGACGACCCTATCCGTTGAGCTCGGACAGAGCATTTGGTAAACTTTAAGCGTTTTCAGAACTGATTGCTATTTTGGTTAAAGTTAGGCTGACGTGAATACCTCGCGCAATTCTTTTATTTTTGTGCCGCCCTTGCCGATGATGCAGCCTGCCTGGCTTTGATGAACAAGCAAGCGGACGTCAACACAATCCTCCTGGATGTTTTGTACCTGCTAAACGTGTATCGATAAAAGATTAAAGCTTACCCTATTTAAGGTGTTGTGCATTATTTCGATGACTGAGTTAACATCGCCCTCTAGAATCAGGATTCTAAAAACCGAAAACAAAGTGTTACATCCCACAGGAGGCGCCAAAATGTTCAGCTTGGGGAGCTAAAATCGTACCTTTCCGGTCCATTGCTATCTGGAATATTAATTGTAACAGAATACTGCAGGGGGCCACCCATTTGAAAATAAATCAGTCCATCGTATGTTCAACGTGGCCACAATGCGGGTAAAATGAGCGGGCGGGGAGAAGCGGTATGGGGCAGGGCGGGAGACAGGGATCGGACGTATCGGGACGGACATTAGTCGGGGTCGGACGTATTGGGACGGACATTATTCAGGGTCGGACGGGCCAGTGGCGGGAAGGATGGGAGGTTATATGAAATAAAAAATATAGAATTCCTAGTTAGTTGAGGGCTTAACACCAAACTGTTCCAGATGAAAAATAAAACGGACGGACGGTCTCACCTCCTCCCGCAGCTTCTTAATGCTTTCGCCGCGCTTGCCTATAATCAGTCCTGCAGTCTAAGGGAAAGTCCACGAGGAAAGTGCAACAAACCTTGCTGGAGATCAAAAATCGAAGTTCTACATTTGGACCCTCACGCATTATTTTGGCAGGGGGCTCATCGACTGTACAAATGTTATTTAAATAAATTAAATTACTACGCTCAGGAGACTGTTTGGCCAGGAAATCCAACTAAAAGGGGGATGTGAGCTACGAAGTGGCACAAACCATAATCGTGAAACGAACGAATTAAAACAAACCATTTTAGGGTAGAGACAGTTCCGGTTCTCCGGTCTGAAGAAGGATTGAAATATTCCTTTCTCTTTATTGGGTGTAACTATGCGACTTTGAGATTCAAACTAAGGACCTAGATCAAAAACGTACGGATGCACGGGATCCTATTCGAAGGTGAAAAATAAAACTTATCGAATAATCTTGTGGTAGCTGATGTAACTGCAAGGTTGGCACCGAAGTGTTTATCAGAAATTGAAAAGGAATGATGATAGCAAAGCAGCTAACGTGTGGACAATCTGCACTGATTATAAGTGGTTGCGTGGTAAGTCGCTGACACTTTTCTAACTGAGTAAGTTCAGAAATTGTCGGTAGACCTACTGTCATGTTCATGGTCGACACCAGCACTCGGATTTAAGTGCGGCAACACGCCTGAAGTGTTTAAACTCCACCTTCTAATACCGTTTTGTCCTTAAGACAGAAGGGCAAGCCTTATTCGGGATAATTCTTTCCGAAAAACACACGCGAGAGACAAAGACCTACTTGATCGGCTATGTCATCTCTCTTCCCCGATTCGACCGAACTGATTGCATAATGTTTAAGCGGGAATATGCTTTATTTACAAAAGGTGTGATGCCTCGCGGACGACTTACGGTAAATGAGACCGGCCTTGTCCGATCTTGACAGTTCTGTCACGTCCATAATCGAAACCAACAAATCGGAATTGTTCAGAGAGTACTTTGCCTAAGTCAGTGGCATCCACTTTCCACTAATGACTATGAAGCGAAAAGGCTTGCGGCGACTAATTATACAATGATGAATGAAATGAAGAATGTGACTTTTAAAGGCGGTTCCTCTCAATCAATATGGGAGTTACAAACTTAGATGCCGGAACATGAAAAGTCATCAGAAATTTAAACGGAATTTGACAAGAATAACAACGTTGAATGAATCCACATTGTCGACAGCTCCAAAGTGCTGCAAGTGACAGAGACTCCATTTCGCTTACAATGATTTGAGATGGACGGAATAAAACACCAATGTTCAGGCAACGATAATCATAATAGTATTGTCTGACACTCAGTGTGATGATTGTGAAGAATTTGTAAGGCGGATTAACGTGCTAGACGCCGAGCAGTGTCCAATGACTGATATCAATGCAGCTTTCTAAGTTACAGCAGGACTAAACCCTTGAAAACTATCGCAGTGTTCATCTAAAAAGCCAGATATATAAATTCGTAATAAAAAAAAGTCGACGTTCGGCAAGAAAGTAAAGAGAATTGTCCTGCCAGAGAAGACTCGACAGATGTGTTTTGTGGACCCAGAAAACCATCAGCGATAGTTGATAACAACAAGAGATAAGCACATTTTAGATTTTACCTTTACCAATGATATTGCTCTTCTTTTAGCTTTCAAAAAGGACCTTTTGATTGTCACCGCGTACTAATTAATTGTTGCGTATGCTTGCCTTTCCAAAGAACTACAGCACAGTTCAGACCTACCTAAATTACGATTCCGGGGATAACGAACTTATAAATAAGTTTATAGGAGCATTGGATTGCCGTGGGTTTCTATCCTACAGTGCTGCAAACGCTATTCATTAAGTATTGTCCACTGTAATGTTTCCAAAGTCATCTTAGAGTGTGTGCATCGTAGATATCTCAAGTCAAACTCTTCAGATTCTCTTGTTCCCCACTTTCTTTGTAACAGACCTAAAAAGCTGAGTCGACAGCTGCGTCACTCATCCACTAATTCTTTATCCGTTCATCTTATAATCACAGGCATTTTCGAAATGGCCTTGAGTGTGTGCTAAACGCGCGACAGGCAAAGAGGATTACTTGCTCTCCGTGAGCCGAACCCTGCCACATCCGCGCTTCTGCTTGGACTAACCCTAACTTCATGAAAGAAATTGGCGTCTGATAATCTCCGATACCGTGCAACCCCTCCCTTCTTGACGGTTAAAAGTTTGCCGCCGAGAGTTTTTTTTCCCTGAACCCTCCAAACCATAAAAACATCAACCATATTGTTATTCCTTTACCACAGGAGTCTTTTTCACTGCTGGCCGGATCTGTGTTCAACGCTTCACTTGACAATGCCTGTAAACTGGCATTAAATAAAATTATTATTATATTTCAAATGATTCTTTCCTAAAAACATGGAAGACGTCAATTATCATTCCTGTCTGCAAGTCTGAGTCTCGATCCGATGTGAATAACTATTGGGACGTGCACAAAACACTGTCTTTAGCAAAACTTCTAGAAAGAATAGCTTTCAATAAAGTTCTGGACTCCTTATATAGCTAATCATGTTATGAGCTCTAATGAGCATATATTTTTACCCGAAGGATCCTGCGAAATTTGCCGTTTAGCCTTTCTTAATCTAATCAATTCTCTTCGTAATGAACAGCAGTGAGCAATCATTGCCTGCTTCAATCTTACCAAAACCTTCGACAAGGTAACACATTGATTTCTTTTAATAGAATTGAAAGCTCTTGGCATCCGGCCTCCTCTACTTGACTTCTTGGGACCCTATCTATTCAACCGCTATCAAAAGTCATGGTCGCTAATTTTTACTCGAAACCTCACTCGATCACTAATGGAACACTTCAAGGCACGATTATGGACCCACTATCATTCCTTCATCTGCATCAATGATATTTCGGCCAAGATCAGAGGTTTGAATGCGTTTATTTATGCCGATGACCCAAGTGTGTTTACTTATATTCCAAATACACCACACCACCAACGTTTGAGTTGAAAAAGTAAGCCCGACCCACTACGCTTCTGTAAATGGAGTTAAACATGGCAGATGGAGTTTTTATCGTCCAAGCACAGTTTCATGTCTTTTAGCCTTGGCCTTACAATTTTTCAGAATAACTCACTCCGAGAATTCTTCGCTATAAAGAACCTAGGATTAAGTTATGCAAATAAGCTAACTTTATCACCTCTGCCAAAGCTGCACATATATGTGTATTCATATCACATATTTTTCCATCTGGAAATGAAGTTAAGACTTTATAAAATGCCTGTTCTTTCTGTCCTGGAGTACTGTTCTCCTTTCTTTGGTTTAATGAACGCCGTTAACCGTACTAAATTGGAAACTGTTCAGAGGGTTTTTACTCGGAAACTCTCCTCTCAATCTGCATCCGGTATTTCTTATACTGAGAGCGGTCATCTAGCGAACATTGTGGATTAGAAGACAGGAAGCTGATCCTTGCTCCTTGCTTCGCATTAACTCTAGTTTTAATCTTCCGCTCGTTTACACTCTCGATCCGAGCATCGGTTTTATGCCACGTGCAAATCCTTAATGGTGATTACGCCGCCTCTTTGTACTACATCAAGACGTTACCTATTTTTACATCCAACTATGCCTTCCTTTGAAATAGTCTTCCACCAGGACTAAGGACATCGCCTAGTTATCGACATTGAAAAGGAAGCATCTTACACCGGAAAGCGCAGAGGCACTATTGACTGGTTAATTCCCGAACACTAAACTTCATGAATTTGAGAGGATCCTCATGGGATTTAGTAGAAAATAATACATGCCTCACTTATTCAAGTGAAAACTCACATTCAGATTCTTACAATCGCCTGTTTTTGATATTTCAACCCTCGGTTTCGAAGATGTCCACCGTGCGCACCACAGCAGGGACGGTGACTTGCGCTGAATTTACCACACTCTCTCCTCCTCCCTCACGTGAGCCCAGTGTCAAGACAGAGTAAAGAAGACCGGAGAGGGGGGAGGGCGAAGGTGGATGGCACGGTCGAGCCCGCACTTTGGCGTTCCACTATACACCCCATGGCCCACACAACAAATAACCAGGTTTTAGACCAACAACAACGATCGAAATTGGAGGCTGGCACGGCCGAAGTCACACCTAGGCGTGCCGCCCACAGGCGTTTTGGATCCTACACAGTGGAAGTGCCTTTAAGACCATATTAATAAGGAGCCAGTGCTGCCTAACTCTTCGACCACCTGCCAGCCACTCCACACCAACACACACAACACTGGACTGCCTGTGGTGTCCAAGTTATCCCGTCACTTGGAAACCATCCAAGCCACGGCTTATAGCGCATCGTGATAGCTTCAAGCGCGTCATATTGATTATAGTGAGGAAAATTCGCTGAGTCGTCGACCTCGGTCCCCCTTTCCATTCCCCTGTCTTATCCACTGTCCTAGCCGGTCAGTTTACAGGTGTGGGAAATGAGCTCGATGGCTGACATGGTGTAGTGACCATGTCCGCGCGCGCCACATGCGGGGCCTGGCCCCCCAAACACAAACACCAGGATTTCACACAACGGAGTGCGAGCGGTGTATCTCTCACATTCGTTAGAGTGTCGTGGAAGGAGCTGCTTTAGCTCGGCTCCTAGCCGACCAGTACGCCACTCCACACAAAACACACAAATGGACGGACTGCGTGGACCGAGTTGGGGCGTCGGTCAGCAGCCTTCAAATCCGCGACGCTTGACGCGCCGGGATAGTCTCAGGCTCGAGTCGCCCATGCGACAGGAGCCGCATGGAGAGAGAGTCGAGAAGTACACTTCCCACTTGCGTGGAAGGTGGCAGTTGGGTTTTTGCGGTGGGTGATGTTGGCGTACGGTGAGATGGCGTTGGGGGAGAATGTCGTTGTTTGGTGTGGCCGGCGATTGTCTACCGCAGGTTTTCGTGGATGCGCATGTGGCTGAATGGGCCCGTGCGGCGCATGAGTGTGCGAGGGCAGTGCGGGCAGTGGAGGCGGGTGTGGGTGGGTGCTTTAGGCATTGGTTTTCCAGTCTCTGTGCGATGGATTCGCAGGCGATCGACCAGGCCGACGTGTGTGGGGAATATGCGGGGACAGTGCGGACACGAGAAATCGGTGATGTCGGTGGCAGTTGCGGAGATGGTGCCGGTGATGGGCGCATAGGGCGACGTAGTAAGTGTGGGGCTAGGCGTGGTGGATGTGCTGGATGTGGTGTTTGTGTCGGGATTGCGGTCAACTCCGCTTTCGTGGACACGCATGTGGCCGAGTAGTCCCATGCGATACATGAATGTGCGAGGTCAGTGTGGGCAGCTGAGGCGGGTGCGGGGGGTGTAGGTTGATGCTCCAGGCGCTGGTTCGCCAGGCTCTGCACGATGGATTCGTAAGTGACCGACCAGGCCGATGGGTGAAGCAAAGGTGCGGTGGCAGTGAGGACAGGTGTAGTCCTGGTCCTCAGTACTGGTGTCGACGGTGGTGGTGTTGGTGTTTGTTAGTGCGTCAGGATTTTGGGTAGTGTTGGTGTGCATGGTAGATGTCAGGACGGTAGTCGTTGGGTAGCGGAGGAGGAGGAGGATGGAAGTAGTGATGCAGAATGGCGGTCAGAGTTAGCTGACGAAGTAGAGGACGAGGAGGAAATGGACGAAGGGACGATAGTTGGTGAAGTCCGAGTGGTGCAGTTGTTTCGAAGGTGTCCAACGAGTCCAATTCGTGCCCGAAATGTCCGTTGACACCTTGGACACGTTGGAAGCGGTTTTGCGTTGGAATTGAGGGGTGGGCGCAGCTGAGATTTGCGTACTTAGCGTTTTGCTTTCGCGGCGGCAATGCGGTTGGCTTCGTAGGACACCGTGCCTGTCTTCCCTGTCCTTCTCTACCTCGGTCGGTCTCAGGCGAGCTCTTCCCAGTTGGCCAGTATGATTTGCAGACGCTTCAG